TCCCTCACTTCCCCTGAGAGGGGAGAAATAAGGATTTTAGTGTTGCACTTCCTGCTTCCAGTGATGTAAAAATCGTCATTTTGCGTCACTGGAAGCAGGAAGTCTCATATCTCTGTAGAGGGGGTGAGACTACAAACACTACTTCTGCATATTTTTTTTCTCACGCTACAGACCTATTACAGATCAGTGGGTGGGACTTCACCTGCAGAAACTAAAAAATCTAACCGCCATCTTGTTTGGAAGATAAGCGGAGGCGGATAACTGTCATTGTTAACATATTTATTTTTGTTGTTGTTGATATATTTCTGTAAATAAATGGTTCACATTCACGTTGTTGTAGTCCTTGGTAGTGTTAGTGGGAGCGGCTTGCGGAGCTGTGCATTGTGGGAGTTGTTGTCTTTAATACAAATGTGCCCTAAAGTCACTTTCTGTCTTTTCTCGGTCAAATAGGCACCAAAATCAAAATGTATGTTACATTTCGACTACATAAATAACCCACTTTCAATAAATATTAATGTTTCCACGGGTGAAATGCTCCTTTAAGTGGCTTTTTCATGGATGGCCAAATGAGGTTGTGTTTGAAGGTGGGACGTCAGGGACATTTAGGTTTGTTGTGAAATGTGTAGATTGATAACTATTGTGTTTTAATATAATTTGTCTTTTAGCAAGGACACTGTAGGGAGATGAACCCCATTCCACTAATGTGAAAGTACCACACCTCATGGTCAGCGCATATACATTCTGAAAGAGGAAAGTGAACTACATCTGAAATGGGATGAAACCTGGCAGCATAAACAGACTAACTTGTAGCATAGCCTAGTAAATGAACTGGGCAGGACATATTATTTAGCCCTGTAATATAGGCTAGCATACATCGGAGAGAGAGAGAGAGAGAGAGAGAGAGAGAGAGAGAGAGAGAGACAGAGAGCAATGGCAGTAAGGGCGACGGCGCGGAGTGAGGGCGTGTTGGTCAGACAGTCTGATAACTGCACGGGTCTCTCACTCAACTTAATAAAGAGAAATGTCCCACAAAGCAACGTTACAGGACCAAACAACAGTAACGTAGTAACTGTAACTGTCTATGGCAACTTACATGAGGAAAAAAAATACCACAGCTGTATGTAGAGAAGCATCTGTCCTCCTGTTTGTCCTCCCGCCTGTCCTACTGACTCTTCCGTTACATTTCTGCCCGAAAAACAGCGTCTGTCACCGGCGAAAAACTCACAGCGTGTATGCGATCAAAAATCACCGCAACCAAGACATCAGTTTACTTTCCACTGGAAAGCATTCTCCGTCTTGCGAGTGAGGGAGTCAGACAGCGTCCAGTTTACTGCTGGTGATTATGTATAATTATGTAATTTAGAGTGAAAAACGTAACTTCGTCACTTTCCAGGATGTTTGGTGGGTCAGGATCTCAATCACTACACATTAGGGCTCTGCAGTGATTGGCTCTGGTGCGCACGTGGCTATGGTGGCTATGGTAATGCTAGCGGAATTCTAAATAATTTATGAAAATAATTTATTAACTGTATCTTTGTAGTCCAAACAAAGCCAACGTTGCACACCCTTAAACCACACAGCAGCCATGTTGAAACTCTCAGGTCAGTCTGATCCTGATCTGCATAGATATTTGAGCCACACACACACACACACACACACACACACACACACACACACAGACAGAGATTCCTTGCTTTATAGATAGATAGATAGATAGATAGATAGATAGATAGATAGATAGATAGATAGATAGATAGATAGATAGATAGATAGATAGATAGATAGATTATACTCTAATAAATGGGACCATAGTTGGGACCATTGGAGTCAGTAGAGCTGCCCCCTGCTGGCCATTAGAAAGAATTCAACACTTCTGCATTGGCTTCTCTTCACAGACCCGGACCACTAATATATACCGTCAATGGGTCTAACAAACAAGTCAAGAGAACAGGTGATGTGATTCACAGTCCTACCACTGGTTTCTCGCTACACTGATGTACAGGTGGCAGTAAAACAACCAAGAAATGCAGCTGTGTACCTACAAAGACTGGGAAGAAAAAGACTGACAGCAATGAATTAAGTTGAATTAAAAATCTGCTTAGCAAATCTTTTATGAAGAAGGAAATGCACTCAAAGCCAAACGAGGAAATACATCAACAATACTTTTACAGTGTCCTTCACAGGAGTTAGGAGTTAGAGTTTGAACTGTCTCAAGACTTTTGTGACACGTAGGACTTGAGCTCCCGTTAATAGATGTACAGCTCAGCAACTTCTCCTTGACCCCTGCCAGCACAAATCATCACAAACACTGGTGCTCCCAGCATGAAGCTGTATTCAATTCCAGTGTTTTGTGGGGAGGACAGAGGTATAAAAGTATTCAGGGTGCTCCACACAAAGCTCCTCAGTGTCATCCTAAAGGTTAATGATACCCTGTAAAGTATGGCAACCCCCAGTGCTGGGGGCTTAGACTCCTCTTTGAATTCTTAATTTCAGATTTTTGCTGCTTTAAAACCTGTGTGACCGTCTGACCTCTCTTGTCACTGGCTACATCTGACTTATTTTTTTCTAGGTATGCTGACCAAACCAACACAAATAATGAATAACATTGGAAGTCCAAATTACCTTTTAGGTTTAGGCAACTAAAACTACTCAGTTGAAGCTAAGATGGTCATGGAAAACAATTAATCGTTGAGGTAAGAAAATCACAAAGGAAACCAACACTCAAGGCCATTGCACACCAAGTCCATTTTTTCATCCGAAATTGCACCTTAAATTGCAAATAAATATGACCTCACATTGTGTCACTCAAATCTTGTCCTTCATTAAAGTCAAATTGCTCATAATTCTCATAATTTGTCTAAAGTTGTAGGCCATTTGGAGTTACAAAGAGCAGCTACTAATTCATATTTATTAGAATTTTTAAAGTTGTACATTTAGCATTTATTAATTACACTGAATAAACAAAGTAACTACTGTATTAATAATGTTTAGTTATTACCAAGGATTAGAGCTTTGAATATCAATCATGATACATTTGTACTCATTTGACAAATGTGCCTCCCTTCTTTCAAACTGCCCCCAGTCTTGTCCCCCATTCAGAAGTTGCCTGTGGCTCCTTTGCATTTTATTTTTGTGATTCATTCTTTGTATCGCACATTTAATTCCTTATGCAGTTGTTCCATGTAGTATTTTTTAACCTTATGCTTGGTTCACTTTATTATTTTAAGATTATTGTTTTATGAACTACCCTGCACCCAAAATGTAAGAGCTTCAAATATCATAAATAGGTATGAGTGAGTTAATAAACCTTGTCTTCCTGCAGAACCCTGCAGCAGATCATCCTACAAGCTCTTTTTAAAATACAATTTCACCAATAAAACTTTTTTTTTGGAGTGCAGCCGGTGTTAAGTTTTTAATGGATTTTGGCTGGTTATTACCTGCTATTGTATTTTTAGCAGCCATATGAAGCAATAATATCCTGTCCCAGTGAAGTGTGATTGTGGTTGCATAATCAAATAGAGTGTAGCAGTGCTGTGTCGTTCTGCTGTTGGATCAAGAGCTTCAAAAACTCCATTCAGAGAGAGAACATGAAACTTTCTTTCCTCGCTCTATGTTCTCACACTTTTTTTCCATCATTCTTCTTTTGTTTTTCTCCAGATTCTTTTTGCTTTGTGATGCACAACCACTTCCTCAGTCCCCTTTTTCTCAATTTTCTTTACATCCTCCTCCGTCCATACCTTAACCACTTACTCTGACTTGCTCTTCCCCCTACACCTCTTCATCCTCCTCCACAAAGACAATGAGGTCTTTCTCATCCCCACTTTTCTTCATGTCTCTCATCTGCTCTCCTTGCTTTCTCTGGTTCTTCCTCTTCTTCCTTTTCTCCCAATCTGTCTCTTCTTCCTCCTCTTGGCCCAGCACTTCCTGTTACTGCTCCTCCTCCTCTTCATCCACCTCTTCTTTGCAGTTGTCATCCACGTGGGAGGTTTAGAGTAGTGATACAGACGAGGAGAGAGGGGAAGGAGGAAGATGCATGGTGTAATCCATATGTACATAAATATACACGGCCACATGTAGCTACTCTTGCCATCTGCAGTAACTTATTG